AGTCCAGATGTTAGACCATAGCTCTGAGCATCCCTTACATGGTTGAAGGGAGTTGCAGTCCAACGTTTAGAGAACTGCACCTTTCCCACCACTATTTTTCATACTGCCCCATAATCAGTGCTCTTTGTGTGGCTTACAGAGAAATATTACTCACAAGCTTGTGATGCTTGCCTACAAATCACATTATAGTATTGGATGTAACTAGTATAGGGACACCAGAAAACAGAGCCATTGGTTGAAAAACTTCTTGGTACACAGTGGGCCCTTGGTGTCCACTGGAATTTGATTCTACCCCCCCCCCCCCAAGGAATTAAATCCCATTATATATAATGGTGCAGTGAAATGATGTCCCTTATATAAAATGGCAAAATCAGTGTTTGATTTTTGTGTTATTTTTTTAAAAAAAATCTGTAATATTTTCAAGACATGGATGGTTCAATCTGTGGATATGGAAGTCCCACTGTACTTTATAACATTCTTGAATTTAAGAGATATTTGCACATGTTTATGGGGTGCATTCATGTGTTCATACGCTAAAAGAACGAATTTCCCTTTTGTCCTGAATAAAGAACTTGAATTTTTTGCCCAAGGCAAGGGACAGATCTTCAAGTTCCTTTCGCCTTTGTATGTTTCACAGATGGAAACCAACTATTCTGTTTTTGAAGGGGTGGTTTAAACAGGATATATTGCTAAGTGAAATCCGATACTTGCATACTGACCATTGATTGTGTTCAGGTGTGTGTGCATACATATGTGATTTCATGCTGCCTGTAGACTCGTGGCCATGGATTTCCTAGTAGTCTCTTAGGCAATGAATATGCAGAGGTAGTATTGCCTGGGTCTTCCCTTGAAATAAGCCACAGTTCCTGAGGTTTGTTGGAAGTCTCTCATTCAAGTGAGAGACTTCCAGGCTCACCCTGTTCAACTTCCAAGGTTAGGCTACACCTGACACCTTTAAGGTATTCAGACCCTTTGTTCAGTCTGTATTTTTATGGGTCAACATTGACTTGTCATTGTCACCAATATCCAATCAATTTTTTGAATAATTAATCAAATAATTAAAGCATTTACATACAGATAGCAATAGAATCTAATTGTTACCAGTCCGTAAATGCATTAATTATTCTATTAGCATCATTGCAAAAACTACACGTGATAGAGAAAAAATAAACACAGATCTGAATTCAGCTCAAAACATTTTTATCAGAATGACCAAAAATTGTATCCAATGACAAATACTTCTTGGCTTGTGTTACACAAATATGATGTGAAATGTGTAGACTTCCACTGCAGTAGTCCACTGTACTGTACCAGTTGTCATATTTTAAAAAGTTGACATGATGGAAAAAATAAAGACATACCATATTTAAAATCAGCATAAAAACAGATTAAAACTGTGCTACTTTCATTTCTGATTATTACAAAAAGTTTGATTTTGTTAGCTTGTGTAATAGTATATCCAATTGATCAAGTTTGTTAGTGAGTAGTTTGAAACTTCACCAGTTGAGAAAATGTGGCTTTCTCCTAGTATATTAAGGTACTTCTCAGTGCTGTTATAGATATCCTGGGAAGAACTAAGGTAGGTGAGTGAGCTGCCATTGAACCTATGTTCTCCCCTCCATGCAAGGCAGTTTCATGTTTGTATTTGAAAATGAAATCCATATGAGATGAATGATACCTGGCCTCCAATGAATTAATAATGTAGATATGGCCACTCTGGTTTTGATCCAAGCTGTGCTATATTTTACTTATTTATTTATTGGATTTATAGCCTCCCTTCTCACCTTGGAAGCTATATTATGTGTACTTATTTTATTTTCTTTCTTTGTAAGTTGCCAAGAGAATGAGTTGATGGGTGACTGTATAAATAATGTTCAGGAGTGAATTCCATATATTTGCTTAAGACACTTTCTACCTTTTGTTGTTTAGTTTGTCAAGCTGTAGCAATTTTCTTCAGGAAAAACACTCGCAATCAAGTGATTGTGATGTGTGTGTACCTTTTGCCTCATGGAGGAAGAGATAGCCCAGAACTCAGAAAAGCTATCTTTTCTGAGATTTTTGACATAGGATAGACTGGCACAGTATATATTCAGGTTCCTTTTTCTGAAGTGGTAGAAGTCCAGGATTATTTTGTAGGATACTCTTATTTTTTTTTATTTATTTATTTATTTTGGTTTCTGTAGCTAAACCCTGATAGGAAATGTTTTTGAAAAGGAGCTCTCTGTCTTCCTTTTACAGAAAAGATTTGGGGTAGTATGTTTCCAGCTGTCTTTCTATATCCTTCTCTCATTCCTTTTACAAATCTGGCTTCACACAGTAGGATTCTGGCAATGCCAATATTTGAGATGAGGCTAAGAGTTGGGTTTGATTTTCAATAGAAGTCTCTCCTGTAGCAGTTTCCCTAAATTGGAGTGAAATGGACACATGTTGCTGTAACACAGTTTCTTGAAGTATGGTGTTTCCAGAACTATGTAGTTAAGATATCGTTTCCAGCTCCTGTGAGATAATTTCTGAGCCACTTTGGGATATGTCATGGAAGCTTTTGCTAATAGCTTTTTAAAGCATGTAACTTGGACTTTTTTGCATTAATTCAGCTGTGTCTGAAACCAATGACTTCAGCAGCCCTGCTCTTTATGAATTTTTATTGAAGATTATCTGATGCAGAGATGTTTTTTTAAATAGCTGAGGCTGTACGTGACTTTGTGTTGTTCCAAAAGCGAGTAGTCTGAAAATGAATCGATATGAGCTATAGTATGGCTCTTGTTAAACCAACGAACAGTTGGGTCCTTTATAAAAATATATGAGTGGTTGGCTATGCTAACCCCTTTGTTTTGGGAAAGGCATACCTTGCAACTGAGGAGGTAAGTGATGGAGAAGCTTAGAATGTCTCTGAACTGTAATGAAGTAGATTATTATTATTATTATTATTATTATTATTATTAACAACAACAACAACAACAACAGATATCAGCCAGCATTTGGAAACAATAAACATTGACGAAATCACAATCTGTCAACTGCAAAAGGCCTCCTTACTTGAATCTGTGCGCATCATTTGAAAATACATCACACAGTCCTAGATGCTTAGGAAGTGTTCGACTTGTGATTTTGTGATATGAAATACAGCATATATATCTTGTTTGCTGTGACATACTGTGTTTGTGTCAGTAAAATAATGAAAATAATAAACTTTATTTATAATCCACCCTATTTCCCCAGGGGGACTCTGGGCGGGTTCCAACATACAGCTGCAAACGTTCAGTGCCTCCATAAAATAAGTATTAACTGTCATAGCCCCTAAAAAACCCTACCTATAAAAACAACATTGAGCACCTAACATCAATAGATTAAAGCAAACGTAATCAAACAAATATTATATGAACACAAAACAATTCACAGAAGCCAACTATTGTTCACAACATTGTGTGAGTTAATTTTGTGGTCTGTGTGGTTTTGTGGCCAGTGATGATAACTGGGATTAGTAGAGCCTGAATACAAAATGATTTTCAACCAGAGGTCCAGTAGTTATCTCTCATTGTCTAATCCTCCTCCTCTCCATATGCTAGTGAGCAAAGGTGAGTTTAAATAGAATCCTGACAAGGATTAAATATATGAATACATTTAGAGAGTCATGAAGTAGTCCACACCTTTTATTTCCAGGGACCTCATCCAGGGGAATCTGAAATCTACATATTTGGGTGAGTTTATCTCCCATCAGCCCCAAACATGACCTATGCTTGTGGATGAAGGGAATTATAATTGAGCAAAAATAGAAACCTGCTTAATCTGAAACTAGGACAATTGGGTTTATATATCTGTGAAATGTCCAGAGTGGGAGAAAGAACTCTTGTTTGCTGGAGCTAGGTGTGAATGTTTCAATTGGCCACCTTGATTAACATTTGATGGCCTGGCAGTGATTTTTTTTGTGTGTGGCTTGTTAGTGCCTTGGGGAATCTTTTGTTGAGAGGTGATTAGCTGTCCCTGATTGTTTCCTCTCTGGAGTTTACCTGTGTTTGAGTGTTATGATTTTAGAGTTTTTAATACTGGTAGCCAGATTTTGTTTTCATTGTTTCCTCCTTTCTGTTGAAATTGTCCACATGCTTATGGATTTCAATGGCTTCTCTGTGTAGTCTGACATGGCAGTTGTTAGAGTGGTCCAGCATTTCTGTGTTTTCAAATAATATACTATGTTCAGGTTGGTTCATCAGGTGCTCTGCTATGGCTGACTTCTCTGGTTGAAGTAGTTTGCAGTGCCTTTCATGTTCCTTGATTCGTGTTTGGGCACTGAGTTTGGTGGTATACTTGTCCACAGCTGCATGGTATATGGTAGACTCCTGCGGAAGCAATCATATATTTGGGGGTGGGGGCCTACATATGAAGCATTAGCATATGGCATAGTTTTCTCAAGAATCACCCTCACTCCGAGTGTTGGACCTGTGCTTATATGAAAATTTAGCTATATCAGATTTACATGGGAAAGTTCCAGTGTGGTGACTTTGTCATGATCAAAATAAGCATAGCTTAACTACTAGTCTTGTTATCGTTTCAGACAATTTGAATGGGAAAAATGAGAGTATTTAATGACAACTGGGGTATTAGTGCAAAAAGGAGCATTTCAGCTGCAGTGGGCTAAAACTTTTGTCTGATTCTCTCCGTCAAAGAATTGGCTGCCTGACAACCAGAAGCTTTATTGTTCTAATCATCATCAATCCAGAAAGCATAGTTTTGCTTTATGATATATGCAGCAGCTGCAGTGTATCACTGCTGTATTGTAATGTCTGTTCCTTATCTACCCAGAGTTTGGGCTCCAGGCAAAACCTGAGCATATTTATTTTATATGCCAACAAAAGAGTTATTAAAGTTCCATTCTGCTAATGCTACAAAATGAGAACCCGTTTAAATTGTTTCAGCCAAAAATGATATAACACAATAACATTTCTTCTTGATCTTGTGTTTTCTCTAAGGCACAGTCATTATATTCCCCCTCTCTTTTCTTTCAGGCTCTGCATTTTTCCCTGGCCGTTGTGCTGAAATCTTTGCCAAAGGGCAGAGTATTGGGAACCTAGGAGTCCTTCACCCAGATGTTATCACCAAATTTGAGCTCACCATGCCCTGCTCTGCTCTTGAAATTACAATCGAACCTTTCCTGTGAAACCTGACAGCAACATCATTTTGCATTCACAGTAACCACTTGCTACATCAAATATTCATCCCTACCTTTAAATGGATTGGATCAATCTTCTCTTGGTCTTTGATAAAAATGTTTCTTGGGTGCAATGAAGCTGGCTTCAGTAACAAAATATGAACAACCATCAAACTAGAAACTCGGTGTTTTAGCAGTTGTCTAAATGGAATTGCAATCTCTTTCTTACTGCATGATTTAGGAGATGTATTGTTAAAAAAAAGTCAAATGTTAACAGAAGTGAGTTTCCCCTATCTCAGGTTTCTATAAACTCTTCAGTGGTTGGAAGAGGTCAGGGTAGAGATATATTCCTTCCAAACTAGAGCAATTTTGTTAGTCACTTCCTACAGTATGTACAGCTGCATGTCAGCCATTTTTATTGCAAAATAAGGGAGCAAAATAAAAGTAATAAGGGCCTGTATTTATGTCTGGAGCTATGCACCAGTGGGGAATGTGGTGAAATCATCAGTATCTAGACTTGCTGGAAGAAGCCTTTTGCTGCAGAACCATTAAAAAACAAATTGAAAAGCCCCAGTACTTGCATATATGTTGGGACTTTTAATAACACACATAATGCTAGTCTCTTTCAGAGGAGGTAAATAAAGATGTAAAGTTAAAAGAAAAGAATTAAACATATGCAAACATTGGAATAAATTTTCTGCTACTAAATTATATTTATAGATATTGTAAGTACATTATCTGACAAGCTGTTCTCAAGATGCACCATCATAGTTGATGTATACAATTTGCCCTGTTGTATTGAGACTGAGTTGAAGTATACTCTAATGCAAATTAAATCCGCACTCAACAATGAGAATGGAGTCATGGAATTGTGCTTGTGTTGTTTTTAGCATTTGCGAAGCTGTTTACATACACACCATGTGATTTCAGAGGAAAACTATGCCTGATTGGGAGTTGCAGTTCCACAGCATCGGAAGGGACATACTTTGCCTACTCCAAAGTAAAAGCACAAGACTCTAGTGCTGAAGGCTAATCTTATTCTTTGTTTTCAAGCGATTTGTGCTGAGTTGAGATATGACATACCACTGATTATGAAATGCTGATTCCAGTCTCTGCATTAACATAATTTGCATGAAAATATGATTAGAGAAAGCAGCATTTGACTCACAGCAATAAATATACACACAGAGACAGATGACAAAATAAGCTTTAATAAACAGTTTTGCAAATATTAAAATTTAAATAATGCTAGAGGTAGAATACACTTTACATATTTCACAACTTAAAGTTAAACGATACAAAAATAGAAGTTTTTTCAAGTGGTTGTTTATAACTATGAACTTGCATGAATGTGCATGAAACAGAATGAGATTGGTGCATTGTGTGAAAACAATTTTGCAAATAACAAAAGTTAAAGGTAAACCCAGATCCAAAGTCTTACAGACATTTAAGAAATCTATTTACAGTATATTTTCCTGAGACTGAACCCAACATAATTTGTGTGCAAACACTTTCTAAGATGAAATTACAAGAAAAGACTGGGTGGCAGATGGGAGGGACTTCTTAATGCCTTCCGTGCATATGTCACCTCCTGCCATCTTGGTACTGATTGGGAAGGAGAGGCAGAAATAGGATGAGGACTGTGTGCATTTCCTATCCACCAGCCTTCTTCCTCCAGTACCCATGCAACAACGTCACAAATGGACCATATTGTTTGCTTTCCTTGTATTGTCTACTTCTGCCCTGAGGATTTTCTGTTTTGACATGAGAACTTCATGGGCTTCAGGAATTATGCCCTTCATGCAACCCATTCATTACAAAGCACATGCCTTATCCAAACCATGGTGGATATTAAAAAAGTTAGAGAATATAAATTCATTTAGTGTCTATTAAAACTACAACCTAGTGTAATACTGAAGTTTCTCCCTTCTTAAGCAGCCATGGGGTATAGGGATTTGGTTTTGAGGGGATGTTCTTAAAGTTGCATCAATATTGAGAGACGAGCTAATTCATAATGCTGAAAGAGCATTTGATTTAAAATGCTCTTTGTGCTAGGTTTACTTCCTTATAGGAAGAATCTATGAAAAGCTGCAACCTTGTAGCAATTTAGCAATATACTTAGAATAACGGTGCCCTTTTCTATTTTTTAAACTTTAGTTGACAACATATTCTGAAGCTTAAATACAGAGTTGTCTAAAAAAAAAGTTATCCAAAAGAAAGAAAAAAAGGCTATCATGGTTTCTGAGTTCTTGTTCATCTGCAAAGGAAATAATCAGTTTGCTCAGAAATGATTCATGATAAGGACACAAAGATCTAGCACTCACGGGCAAACAAAAACTTGGAATCTATAGCATAGTTGCATTTGTCGTGCTTCATTTCTCAGTCACCCATAAATCACAATTTTTAACAGTCTGAGTGATTTAAAGGAGATGTACCTTACTTTGTGATACCAGTGCCTGAAAACTACCACAGCAAAACTTTAGAAGCTAAATATTTTGTCTATGTATGAAGAACTTCTTCCAACACTGAGTTCAAGAACTGTCAAGCAGCTGAATTATGTTAGATCTGTTGATAGAATATATTAAAGCTAAAAGTGGTAGAATGCTTTGTCTGAGAGAATCCAAGCCCAGATCAGCAATTTGATTCAAAAGCCTACTTTGTACAAGACTCAAGCCAAGATGCTGGCTCATCTTGGAAAAACAATATAAACTCCTGCTATACAAAAATGTCACCTTCAGACAAGCCAGGCATGACATCACTCATTAGCACAACTACAGTTGCCAAGTTGGAAAGGATTTTAACATACCGAGAAGTTAGAACTGATAGCCCTCTTTGCTGGATATCCCTGAGACTGTGGCCAGTGCCACGCTTCTTGCAGGTTTCCCTGTACTACTGTACTTTGGCCCAAAAAAATCAGCCAAAAATGTGTTCTTGAAATGACCAGAAGTGACTGGCTTTTCCCTCCCAGTTTTTTACTTTATTTTATATTATATTTGTAACCTGCTTTCTCTCTCAAGGAGACCCAAAGTGACTAGCATTTTAAATAGTTTTAGAGCTGGGGGAGTTACATTTTAATAATATACTGTATTTCCTCAATTCAAAGTTGTACTTTTATATATAAAAACATTTCCAAAATGGGGTGCATTTTAGAATTAAAGCTGTGTCTTATGTATTTTAGTTGATGGTGGAGGTACTGAAATCTATGGCTTTTTACAACTGAAGAAATACAGTAGTTGCTTAATAATTGGGCTTTCAGCCATAACTACTCCACAGACATTTTCAGCCAAGATTCAATATTGCAGTCAACAGTGCACCAGTAACTAAGCTGCAGAGGCCCAAACTCTGTCACAGTCAATTGTGAAGATGCATAATGGTACCTGGCAGAGCACCCCAAATTCACTGATACAGCTTGGGGCATGATGCCCAACAATCACCCATTGCACAATGAGCATTAGGCACCATTACATGGCAATGTCAAAGAAGCTTCTTGTTGAATACAGGTGCAACTGTTAATATCTCTTCGCCACACAAATAATAACACTACTTATATCAATATGTTCCCCTACAGAGTGCCCTTGGACTCTATGAAGGAATACTGCTCAGTTGTCACTGGAGATAGGGTCTGTTTCTGGACTTGTGATATTGTAAAGTGGGTCCCATGCATGCCTTCCTACCAACCACACCATAGCAAATTCTTGGAGAACAGCTGGACTGTATGCCTGCTGTATTCAACCAAGAACAAACAAGACTGGCCCTGATACAACCAGAGTTCAACTGGTAAAGGAGAAGAACTCAGAACTTAAGACTCATGTGGAATGGCAGTCAAAGCCAGCTCCCCTTTAATACCTCATCTTCTAATACTACAAGATGAAAAGTTTGATTCTTATGTTTAGGAAGCTCATCAAACCACAAGAGCTAAGAAGGAAGGCAGAGGCTACTAATGATCTCCACACAGAATGGTAGACCACCAAGAATGGCCTTTCTGATTTAGTATTGCCTAAGCTTTAGAGCTGTGGTTCCCAACCTTTTTTTTGACCAGAGACCACACTCCAACATTAGTACCAAAAGGGTCACAAATCAATTTTTAGTCAACTTTAGATTTGGTTTGGTTATTTGGGGTGCTGATTCAGAAAATTGCATTGGATACACCACATCAGCTCTAGTTTCTGATAAAGAACATGTGCCACCCAGTAATCGCCATCTGTTCACCCACAGAAAACCATATTCAGTAATTTAGAGCTGATGTGGTAGTTGTAATCTTTCATGGGTAGTCAGCCTCTCCCCTCCTGACATCTCCATTGCCTCTGTAGTATAAGAGGGTTTTGCAAGACCAGTCACTCCCTTTGCTGTGTGATTTCAAGGCAAGGGTATAGTAATGGTAAGGCCGTGGACCATATTTTCATTCTTGCAGACTACTGGTTGTCCACAGACCATAGGTTGGGAACCACTGCTTTAGAGCTATACAAAAAGGCTGCACACTTCTCTGTTGAAATCTGTATTCTTCCTTATACACTTTTTGTCATTGCATTCCATGATCTGAACTATTTTCTTAATAAAATGCACAGCATTCAATATAAGCCTAAAAATCTGTGCAGTAGTGGTACAAGCACTGTAGCACTTAGGCCAATGGAGGAATATGTTATATATTTGTAAGGCACTTCTATGTTTACTTGCTGCTTAGCTCCACAATCCTCCATAGACACTTCATACCACAAACACAATGACTTCAGAGCCACATTTTTAATGATCTGCCGTGTGACCAGCACCATGCCTATCCCCACCAAAAACTTTGCAAGTGCTGTCAGGAGCATCTCATTGGTGAAAAAAGGAACACTGTGTGAAACAGCTTCAGTCAAAGAATTTGAGACGTATTGGTGGTTTATCCAAAATCCTATAACAGCTCCAGCTCCAGCTCCCAGAATTGTGGTGGTGTCTGCTCTAGTAGGGCTGTAGTAGTCTAGTTTAGGATAGTTGTAGCACAAGAAGAGAGGCACAACAATGCAGAAGACAGGGCACAAGGGGCTGGTTACCATCAGGTGATCAATGACGTCCCAAACAGGATACACAAGGACAGTTAATAGCACTGAGACCAGACTGCCAACCATCACATCCTGGAAAGATACAGGAGATAAGAAAAAGATATTAGATATGTAATTATGTTTTCACTTGTGCTACAACACAGGTGGACAACTGGCACAGGAGCGAAGGCCGAAAAATCTCTACCATTTTAAAATAATTGCATTTCTAAGTAATACAAATGAAAGTACAGTCACCACTCACACTTGAATCAAATGTATTTCATTTAGTATTACTACATGTATCATCCCTTGTTAAATGGAGTATTATACAAACAAAATTCTCCCAAATCCCTTCAATTTAATTATTATAATGAATTGTATGTGTATTTAAAATGTATGTGAGTGTACTCTCAAGTTGTCTGTTGACTTACGGTGACCCATGAATTTCGTCGGGTTTTCATAGGCAAGTAATCCTCAGAGGGTGGTTTAGCCAATTCCTTCCTCTGAAATAGCACTTGGCATTCACTGGCGATCCCCTATTTAAGTCCTAATCAGAGAAGACACTGCTTTCCCCCCAAGATCAAATGGGATCTGGTGCCTTTAGTGTACATCAGCCTAATTATTTAAAAGAGGCTACTTCCACTGATAGATTGAAAGATGAAGTCCAGCATTCACACATACCATGAAAGCAGCTTAGTAGAAATTTTGGAAAAGGAATTTGACTTCTCATGTCTGAAACAGACATGCACATTACTTCGTTGCACCAGCCACAAGAGTTTACAAATCATGTATGTACTCTAGATTTCAGCCACACCTTTGACAAAATGGAGAGCTAAAATACTTCCCCTTTGTGCTCTCCTTCAAACTTTGGAATTGATGGGAAGAGGATTTTGTAAAGGGAGTGAATATAAAATGAGCGTCCCTTATCTGAAATGCCTGGGACTTAGAAGCATTGTGGGGTTTTTTTTTTTCAGATTCTCCAATACCTGCATATACATAATGAGATATTATGAAGCTGAGACACAAGTCTAAACAGAAAATCCCTTTATGCTTCATATCCACCTTACACACATAACCTAAAGGTAATTTTATATACAATATTTTATTAATTCTGTATGTGAAACAATGTTTGTATCCACTGAATCATCAGAAAGCAAAAATGTCAGAAACTCAGGCACCCATGTGGACAATTTTGGAGTATTTTGGCTTTTGGATATGGGAAGCTCGACCTGTACCCTTCTATTTGTATGTTTAGAGAATGAAGATGTGAACAGATCAGTAGGTACTGCTCTGGCGGGAAGGTAATAGCGCTCCATGCCAGCCACATTACCTTGGAGATGTCTACCGACAACGCCGGCTCTTCGGCTTAGAAATGGAGATGAGCACCAACCCCCAGAGTCGGACACGACTGGACTTAATGTCAGGGGGAAACCTTTATTTTTACTAGAGAATGAAGACACTATTTATGATGTACTGTATATATTTGTATAGCACATATATACACACAACTCTTCCTTCGGTAATTTTGGATCCTGAAGGACAAAGAAAACTATCAATATTCCTTCCACCTAGCAAACGGGGGATGACTAACTCGTGAAAGCAAAGAGTTTCAAGTAAACATTTAAAACAAGTTCAAACATTTCTCTGTTAATACAAACTTTTGCCCACCCATAATCTTGCATCTTAGTTTCATCATTTCTCTAGAGAGGATTACATTTTCCTTCATTCGTTTTGCACAATGAGGAAGTCATGAAAGGATTAAGGTGGAAACCACCATAAAGACAAGAGAAAGGGTGGAGGTTTTGCCTCTCCCTAGTTCAATTCAGGCAAAGGAGAATGAAATTTTAATAGCTGGAATCTGGATAATTGGGGAGCAGCTCAAAACCAGTTCTGTCAGACTGGTTTATGAAAAAAAAGCAAAAGATCTTCAGTGTTTCATTCTGCCACTCCAACTACGCTAGGCACTGACAAACATTTTTGGAAAGTACCCAATGATGTCCAAACTCTTGCAGACAGAGCTATATGTAAACTATACTGCAAATTTCCCCAGCCACCAAGTATTTATTAGGCTGGAGATGAATGGAACTGAAAGCCCAGTGCATCTGGAAGGAACCAGGTAGTGGAAGATACTTGTCCACAGAAAGTTCTAAGTCTTTTCATACATTCTCGCTATTTAGAAAATCACCATGACCAAGTCAGTCTGAATATATAGAAGTCATATTGTCATTGGGTACCTAGGAAAGAATCCCACTGGAGCATTGCAGCACACCCAAATACCTGGGAGTTATCCTGGACTGTGCTCTGACCTACACGAAGCACTGCTTGAAGATCAAGCAAAAAGTGGATGCTATAAAAAATATCATACAAAAGCTGACTGGCACAACCTGAGGATCATAACCAGACACAGTGAAGACATCTGTCCTTGCGCTTTGCTACTCCGCATGACCAGTGTGGAACACATTTCACCATGCTAAAACAGTGGATGTGGCTCTTAATGAGACATGTCACATTATCTCAGGATGTCTCCACCCTATACCACTGGAGAAATTACACTGTTTAGCCGGTATTGCATCACCTGACATCCGCTGGGAAAGGGCCAAAGTAGTGACATCTCTGGCCCATCCCCTGTTCAGATATCAGCCAGCACACCAACACCTTAAATCAAGAAATAGTTTTCTAAGATCTACAGAGATACTCACAGGAGCACCTCCGCAAGCGAGAGTCCAGAAATGGCAGGCTAAAACCCAAAACCTCAATCCATGGCTGACACCAAATGAGAAACTCCACCCTGGGCACACAAAAAACTGGGTGACTTGGAAGGCACTGAACAGACTGTGTTCTGACACCACAAGATGTAGAGCCAACCTTAAGAAATGGGGCCACAAAGTGGAGTCTACGACATGTGAGCGTGGAGAAGAGCAAACCACAGACCACCTATTACTTGTACAATGCAGTCTGAGCCCTGCCACATGCACAAAAGAGTTCCTTCTTACAGCAACATCAGAGGCACTCCAAGTTGCCAGCTACTGGTCAAAGGGCATTTACTATAATGCCAAGTTTTTAAACATTGTGTTTTTTTAAAGAAAATACATTACAACTGTACCCTTGGTTCGCTCCTGATATGATACATAAATAAATAAATAGAGTACTGAAACAAATATGTAGAGAAGTTTACTGACTGATTTGGGATCACTGGTTAAGACATGACTAGTAATATTCTCCCTTTTAACCATTGTTTATTTATTTATTTCGGGCACTTCTACCTTGCCCTTCTCAACCCTAAGGGGGACTCAGGGCAGCTTACAACCGGCATAATTCGATGCCAACAATTCATCAGGTAAAATACATGACAGCAATAACCACAATAACTAAAACATTCAATTAATATAATAACAACTAAAAAGCCAATCTAGTGGCCAACGTTCACCGAGTTCTAAAATCCGTAAGTCCATGCAGCATTACCATAGTCCTTTCCAAATTCTGGTCGTCATTACCTTGTCAGTCTGCCAGATTACCCAAAAGCCTGGTCCCATATCCATATTTTCAGCTTCCTTCTGAAGGAGAGGAGGGATGTTGATGACCTAATTTCCCCGGGGAGTGAATTTCAACTTAAGCAAGCCTTTGTTTTGTTTTGTCAGGGAGCTCCAGTACTGAAATAGCAGGGTGTAACTGGAGTAGAGAATTCTAAGTTTCAAAGGTACAAATCCCAGGATCCTTTAGGCCAGATCCATAAAAGTTAAAGCAGTATCTGTTGTTACTGATACTGCTGGAATGCAGACATACCCTTGGAATGACTTCTATCTTTCTTAAACAGACACATCATACACACAAAATGAACATATAAGGTTGGGGGTGGCCCCAAGGACTGCATTGGGTTCCCCAAAGGATTGCATGTGACCCACAGGCTCCACAGTTCCCACAATGCTATGATCTGGCTACACAAGGATCTGGTACAGATTACATGGAATAGGTTGAGATTTTTAGTGCTAATGTATTATCTATATTGGTTTATATGTATGCTTCAAGCCCAGAACAGCAATATAGTGGCAATATAAGTAGCGAGTGCATCCCTCTAACGGGAAATCACCTTACCAGCACGGTGTGCATTCCTGTGTAAATTCTGCTGAGGCATACCAGAGTTGAAAAGAAAAAGGCCCCCATCAGTCCCAGCATCAAGGGAAACTGTGAACATAAAAGTATGTTTACTGGTAAAGATTACTGGTAATCACATGCTTTACACAATTACATAAACACCAACAGACCAGCTATAACTAGAACTCAGCATCATAACTATTCTGAGAGATTAGAAATTCTGGAAATCAGAATAATCATTTCAATTCAACCTGGAATGAATTAATGTTGTTCTTAAAATAATTTATTTGGAGAGGATGAAAAATGCAGGCTTTAGCATTGGGAAGATGTCAGCAATGCAAAAATAAGATACACTAGGATGCATGGCAGGTAGTTAGATTGGATGGCCCATGTGGTCTCTTTCAGCTTTATGATTCTGTGCCTCTATGTATCCACACTTATACTAGGAGCAAACTGACTGAAATCAGCAAGACGTACAGGAGTCATAATTAACCCAAGTCCACTGATTTCTAAATATGAGTTCATCTGGATCCAACCAATTGAATGTAAAGACCCACACTGATCAAAGTTGAAGTAGAGAGAAAGAATAATAGTGGTGACTGGAGTTTTTCCAACACTCTTTTTATAGACTTGTGTGTTCAGCTTATTTTTAAGAAATGTAGTCAAGATGAAAATGCCACACTGAAAGAGAGTCTCCAATGTTGTAAATTTTGTTCTTACAGACAAGAATGCATAATCTCACCAGTTTTCCTCAATTGCAAGAAAATCATGGTAAATTCGTTTTCAAAAACTACACACAACTTTAGACTTAGTGTGCATATATGAAACAATTTTCGTTGGGGGGGGGCATGTCTTCTTTGTAGGAAATATGTTCACTATGCAAATCTTTTCTACAGTTTTCTATTGAAAAAAAATGTTTTCTGCTCAGAAATAAAATTTTATGCAAAAACTCCCATCTAGGATTCTCTTCACCAGGGTTTCCCAATACTCACCAAGCCCAGTTTTAATTGTTTTACATATTTTGGATTTTCTTATGGTCCTCAGGGCTGTAAGGGTTGTGCACTTTTGGTGTAAATTGGCCTCACACATTCCAGGGTTCTCTCTCTTTCAGTGAAAAAGTTCACTGAAAGAGTCCAATTACTAGAAAAGACAAATTCAGGAATGGACTGGAAGCTAAAGCAATTACGGTATCTTTGTACACTCATGAGACATAGGACTTGGATCTAGAGTTCATAAAACTGAAAACAATGGGATGAAATAAGACAAACTTAACTTCCACATCCACATGAATCCCTTAAAATGGAAAAAAACTAAATAAAAACCATTTTTAAGCCTGAGAGAACACGTCAAGGAATCCCCAGTTTGTCCAATGTCAGAAGTTGATCATAGAGTCATGCTAGAAGACCTTCAAATGTCTGGAGAGGTGTTCTCTGTAGAAATCTCTAGGTCCTGCAGTGTAACTCAATGGGGAAGGATTAAACTGGAGGACCTAGAGATTCCTAGAGAAAACATATTGATCGAATCTGCTAATAATCAAATTCACAAAAATGGAACTTAGAAATGTGGAGGGACAATATAGTCATGACTAACATAGTCTCAAATCTATCTACATGGAAACTAAAATAGATGGCTAAATCAAAAGAACTGCTAAATAAAAATAATTACTAGTACATCTCAATCCAACCCAGCTATGCATGGATTCAGTCCAATCTCTAGGAATGATAAAAGCTTGATCCAATCATCTAGCTTTGGGATAAGCGACATTTGGATCAGGTCACCTGGCCGTCATAGTTAGTGCAACCACCAGTGCTTCCAATTTGGAAATATTGGCTGAGCAGGTTGATCTGAGATGACAGTACAAGAGAAGGAGGACAACACATGGAGTAATTCCTAGAGAATGAGTCAGGCTCAGTTAAATGTTATAGCAGGAAGTGTCCAATGGTTTAGAAAAGTTACACATTGCTTCTTGTTGTCTCTACCTTATATTGGTTTGTGGATGCAAGAACAAAAGTGAAAGAGATGGCTGTTGCTGCCATTGCATGAGTAGATGGCATTCCATATTCAGCGGTTGTCCTTTCTTCTAGCTTGATAACTGGTGGTGAACAAGGACGAGGCCACTTCAGGAGATCCTTCGAGACTTGGCCGATATACATGATCACCTGGAAACAGAAAACAGAGATGGCCTTATATTCAAGTTTCAAAAAGTAATTAACTCAGTATTCTTTTGTCTAGCAATTCACTACTATCACCACTGGTACTAGGAGCCCCTGGTGGCGCAATGGGTTAAATCCTTGTGCCAGCTAGACTGAAGACCTACAGGTCACAGGTTCAAATCTGGGGAGAGCGCAGATAAGCTCCCTCTGTCAGCTCCAGCTCCCCATGCAGGGACATGAGAGAAGCCTCCCACAATAATGGTAAAACATCAAAACATCTGGGCACCCCCTGGGCAACATCCCTGCAGGCGGCCAATTCTCTCACACCAGAAGTGACTTGCAGTTTCTCAAGTCACTCCTGACACAAAAAACAAAAAAACACTGGTACTAACAGCTGAGAGCAAGGCTTTCTTGCTTTATTTATTATGCTTTGTTATAAACATCTTACCCCTTTTCAGAGTGCTGGGGAGAATATACATGCTTGCCTCCCCTACTTTAGCCTTCTGAAACAGGTTAGGCTGCCCACATAATGCCCTTTGACCAGCTCTACTTTATAACTCTACTAATGGGTGCTTGTGGCTTCCAATGAGATGCTGAATCCACCTTGGGTTTTAGTTAGAGGTGCTATCCAAGATGCTGAGCTTGACCACCCTTAAATGTTGAGACTAGAACCTGGAGTGGACTTTCCCACTGATTTGGAAACCAAATAGCCACCAGTACCAACTGTACTCAAGGTTGTCACAAGGGATGACAGAATCCACCTGAAGTCAGGCATCTTTCTACCCACTGTCAAACATTTATAGACTGCCTTGGGTCACCAAGCAGCTCCTTTATGGAAACATAGGCTGGTAACTATAAAATATAACACCAAAATAACTACAAAATATTTTTTTTAAACAGCATTACTTTTAAAAATAGTTGTAACATGAGAGGTACTAAAGGAATGTCATCATAAATAGAGCCAATAATATTTTCTAAGGTCACAGTAAGACATTATAAACCCAAACAACAAGTGTTACTGTCAAAATAAAAAAAAACTGACGCATAGTTTTCCTTTAATTACTTATACATACTTTGAGGAATTCTCTGGAAAGCCATGAATGAGATTATTAAAAACATAGAAGGAATCTACAGAATCTTATTGCGATATCATAAATTATTTTCTAGTCACTGGGTTGTGTTTCCTCATTCTCCCTCTTCTTTGCACAGTGTTCCAAGATGTAACTCCAGTTTCAGTTTTGAAGTATTTCCCACTCTTCTATCAAGAACACAGTCTCTTTTACACTGACAATGTAAAAACTATGAAACTATTTTAATTGCCATGATTGCATCCTAAAAAATACTGGCACTTGTAGTTTGGTGAGACACTATAGCAGTGGTTCTCAACCTGGGGTCCCCAGATGTTTTAGGTCTTCAACTCCCAGAAATCCTAACAGCTGGTAAACTGACTGGGATTTCTGAGAGTTGCAGACCCAAAACATCTGGGGACCTCAAGTTGAGAACCACTGCACTACAGCTCTCTGGCTATGTCTACACATATCATATGGAAATACAAATCCCAGTTTCCCATAGGATGAAGCTATGGCCAGTAATGATATACATGCCTAATGTGAAAGAGACATCTGTCTTTTGGGGCTGGATGTTTTTTCATCCTAAAAATGAGAAAACCCTACATAGCTTATTCTGAATTTAAGTAGTTATTTAAAGCTCAAAGTGTTATTTTAAAAACGTTTATGAAAGTGCTGAAGATCAAATGATATGTGGTAACATCAAACCAAAGAAAATATTACCATCAGAATCTGGTTGCCATCTCCATATGTCTTTATCAACAAACTTTCACACATGTACCAATAAAGGACTTGAGGCATGTCAACAGATACTTTTGCTTTCACTGACAGCACAAAATACTGTTTCAGAAGTGTTACTGTCCCTTTGATGACCATGAAACATATTTAACTATGAATTGTGCCTGTACTAATTTGGTGTCTGGTTGGATCATACGGTCAAGATCACAGAAAAAGACTAAGTGGTTTTTTTATTATCAGTTCACATCTGCAGATCCAGGCAAAACTGACCTTCTTTTGGTGAATGCTCTTCTGTCATCATTTTAGCTACACTTCCACACATGGGTTTCACTTAACAAGAAGGCATTTGTTCAGAACACAACTGCAGAATGCCTGAAGACAAGCCACTGACAATTAACACAAAACTGTGCAGCTGAGTTAAGAAGTGGTCGAAACCGGTTTGCAAATGCTGTTGGATCTGGTGATAACACCAGAATGATGGATCACATCCCTAGTCTTTCTGGCCTTGGAGTGAAACTGCTGATACCTTGTTAGAATGGCATGTTTCAAGCTAGCATCATTTTTTTGTTTGTTTTTAGGATTTGTATTAGAACGAATTGGCATGAGAGCCAGTCTGGTATAGTGGTTAGGTGGCTGGACTAGAGACAGCAAGGTTCAAATCCCCACTCACAGCAAGGTTCAAATTCTCACCACCCAAACACGAATCAAGGAACATGAAAGGCACTGCAGAATACTTCAATCAGCAATAGAAGAGCACCTGATGAACCAACCTGGGCACAGCATAGTATTTGAGAACACAGAAATGCTGGACCACTCTAACTACCACCATGTCAGGCTACACAAAGAAACCATTTAAATCCACAAGCATGTGGACTATTTCAACAAAAAGGATGAAACAATGAAAATGAACAAAACCTGCTACCAGTATTAAAAAAAACTCTAAAATCATAACAGTAAATAAAGAATAACATTTAAAAACAGGGAACTCCAGGCAAGAAATAATTGTCTCTCAACAAAAGATTCCCTCAGTAAGAAGCTACACCTTGAAACTGATAGGCCATCACATGCTAATCAAGGTGGCCAATTGATTACATTCATTCATACCTAGCTCCAACTGACAAGAGTTCTTTCTCCCACCCTGGACATTCCACAGATATATAAACTCCATTTTCCTAGCTTCCAACAGACCTCACAACCTTTGAGGACGCTTGCCATAGATGCAGATGAAGCATCGGGAAAGAATGCTTTTGGAACATGGTCATACAGCCTGAAAGACTTACAACAACCCAGTAATTCTGGCCATGAAAGCCTTTGACAATACAATCTCACTGAGCAGTTACTCCCTCTCAGCCTCTCCTACACTGTAATGTTGTTGGAAGATAACAAGGAAATGAAAATGAGAGGTATGTGCAGCAACTTGAACTCATTGAATGAAAGGTGGGATACAATTGCAACCATTAACTGATAAAATGGCAATAATAAGGGGTTCAGCTGAAACCACTCATGCACTTAAAGGATATGTGAGAAGTGTCATAGAGCTGCATGGGCTGACTACTGGAGATGTACTGCAAAATTTATAATGTAGACCTACTTTTGCTAAAATGATTTTAAAAAGTAAATTATGAATGCAGTGAGAGAAGACGAAAGAAGGAAAGAAAGACTGGTGAAATACAGAAGATTCTTAAATACAGTCATGGCTTAGGCACATGTTTTAAGCTGTCTATATATCTAATGAAGTCTATTTGGGGTTGTAATCTGTGAAATATGCATTCATACATGCATAAAATGAAATATATTGGTCACTGAAAAATTTCCAACCTGAAGTGTACATTGCTTTGCTATGATAAATGTATGCCAGATCCAAATATAATCACTGTCAATTAGGATCCAAAGCTTGGAAATATATGGTGACTCCTCGGTATCTGGATTGGCTCAAGGACCTCTCACTCCCCTCCATGGATACCAAAATCCATGGATTCTCAAGTCCCATTCTATACAATAGCACTAAAATGTGCACAGGGGCCGTGGTAGTGCAGTGGTTAAACCACTAGCTGCAGGGTTAGCAGTTCAAAGCTGCGAGTCAGAGTGAGCTCCCAGCTGTCAGCCCTAGCTTCTGCCTACCTTGCAGTTTGAAAGCATGTAATGTGAATAGATCGATAGGTACCACCTTGGCAGGGAGGTAAAAAGGCACCCCATACAGACATGCTGGCAACGATTGGAGAAAGTCTATGGACAACAGGCTCCTTGGCATGGAAAAATGGAACAAGAGCACCTCCCCATGGCCAGAGTTGAGCATCATCTCCAGATGCCGGAGATGGAAAGGGGAAGGCCTTTACCTCTTTCTGTGTCCTGTATGTTGTTGCTCATTGTTTAAATAAGTATTGAATGTTTGCCTTATATATGTAAACTAAGCCTCTCCAAGTCCCTCCGGGGAGATAAAGCGGAATATAAATAAAGTGTATTATTATTATAATGACATAAAAGATGTTGAACAACTCTAATGAGAGCCAGAGAGAGTCTGATGATCTGTGAAATAGCGGGAAGCGACAGCAAGGTATGCCAACGCATTAGCACAATGTTCAGGATTAAGAAAAAAWTAAAGTTTGTTGGGGGATTTCCACCCCCCCCCCCATACTTTCAAAATATTTTTGAGCTGAGGTTAGTTGCATCTATGGCAAACTAGGGATACAGAGGATCAACTATAGTACAACCCCCCCCCCCCAGCATCTGCAAGAAGCATCTATTTATTCTCATATAAAATCAACAAAACCAAAAAGAACAGAAATCACCACTACAAAAACCCATATTGTGTGACACAACAAACCATTTTTGTACTATGCCATCTGAAATTCTTCATGGGGAGAGAAAAAAAGGGGAAGTTCTGAGAAGAGAAACATAGCACTTGAATGGAGGAGTTCTAAACATGTAAATCAATGTTAACACCCAGAACCTCATATGTTACATAGAAAGTACTATTCATCTTTACATAATAGGATTTAAAGAAACAAAGTGTGCACTGTATTTTTCAAAAGGATAAATAGAAAACATTATTTTCAAAAACCTTCACACAAGCTGAGGCAGAAATAAGTTATTACTATGCGAGACTTAAAAAGTACTAATGGAATAAAAGTTACAGCAACCAGAATCAATTAATGCACAGTCACAGTAGGCAGCGACATCTCCAGCCCATTCTTTGTTTGG